AATCAAGAAAAATATGTATTCTAATATTCATAGAAAAATCAAAGTAATTATTAAAATTCTTTATCTCGTAATGAAGCTCCTCTTTTTTCTCTTAAAATTTAGTATATTATAATAGAATTTATTCTAAAAATATTATTTCAATTATTGATTAGATTTAAAAGACTAAAAAGAGCACTTATTTTTTTTTGTAAATAGTAATCGCATTTTGATAATTCAATAACAGCAAAATTTATCGATATGTTAATATTCAGTTTCTAGCTATTTTATTTTTAAATTGTCTGCTCAATGAATTAACCCTACCTTACTAAATTTTGGATTGGCATTTTTATATACTTCAACCTTTATGTGTGATCAATGTTATCAATATATAAATAGTAATTTATAGACACTCACTTTCAGTGAATAAAATTAGTAGAGCACCATTAAATCTTATTTTATCATGTAATTAAATCTCCTAAAACTCAAAGTTAGCTTGAAAAACTTTAACCGTATTTCACTCAAAATCAGATACAAATATTTATTATTAAAATCGCATCAGTTGTTTTCATTTGCATCACTTAATAAAACATAATATATTAAAAAATAACATAAAGAGTTATGAGTAAAAAATTTTATAATTAGGGGATAATGATTTTGCAAGTTAAAATAAAATATATTTTAACTAACCCAACATAACCTGTATTAGAAGACTAGAAAGTAAGTCTGAAATCAAAAGCAAATCGCAGTTATAATTAAATTATATATTTGAAAATATCAGAAATATATAGCAATAATTTATTTACTAAATATAATTCTATTAAATCCTTTTTAAATTATGCTATTATGATAAAAATAAATCATCAATATTAATAAATGAACCTCCTTTATTATTTAGGAAGCATCTTATTGTCAGCTATTGTTTTTTCGTTTTTTCAATATTGTAGAAGAGAAGAGGAGAAACTGAGAAGAAAAAGATTACTTTAAGAAGAAAATAAAAGAAGGATTGGACAAGAAAAAATTAGATAGGAGGAAGAGAGGAAGTAATAAATTGAAGAAGAAAATAAAAGAAGGATTGAAAAAGAAAAAATTAGATAGGAAGAAGAAAGGAATAGATAAATTGAAGAAGAAAATAGAAGACGGATTGAATAAGAGAAAATTAAATAGGAGGAAGAGAGGAAGTAATAAATTGAAGAAGAAAATAAAAGAAGGATTGAATAAGAGAAAATTAAATAGGAGGAAGAAAGGAAGAAATAAATTGAAGAAGAAAATAGAAAACGGATTGAATAAGAAAAAATTAGATAGGAGGAAGAAAGGAAGAGATAAATTGAAGAAGAAAATAGAAGACGGATTGAACAAGAAAAATAAAGATGGCAATATGATGATGAAGCAAAAAAGAATTTAAAGCAATAAGAGTAAATTATTAAATAACACATATAACCTATAACCTAATAAACATCGATATAAAAACAAATTAGTAAATAACCAATTAAACAATAAATATAAACATTAAATTAAGAAATCATTAAAATAGATAATAATAACAATGCTACTAATATTTAAAAATAATTCTAAAAACATTAATATTAACAATAATTATTTAAAAAATTAAAAGATTCAGGAGAAGTAAAAGAAATACCTCATGTAAAATAGAA